GGAACAAGATGGCCGAAAGGTGAGAATACTTCTAATCATTCCAGCTGGAGACTTTAGAGGTATAATCATGCTAAGTACAGATCTTTGCATTATATTTAATGGCACAAGTTTAATTTCAGTATGGGCAGGGACCAAATCAACCATGAAAATCCAAGTCCCTTAAACACACAATAGGCCTACTGTGTGTAGAATGCATTACTATTATGTTACACTGCAGATCCACACTCTCAACTAAGTAATCCTACATTAATAATTTGGCTAATGAATAGACATAAACTGAGTTATACCGGGTACTCTTGACAATTAAAAATAGCTAAAAATCTCTTTATTGTAATATTTCGTTATATATTTTTATTTCAATGGCTTTGATTATACTTGGGATAAGGAAAGCTGACGGATAAAGAAATAACAGCGATCACCATTACCTTGGTATTAAGAATTTTTCAACATATCTTGAAAAACTAAAAACAAAAAAAAAACCGTATAATTGTTATAACAGACTACCTTACCTGTGCAGTAGTTAGTAAGAAGAGAAATGTATAATTCTTTTCATGGAAGCGATTCTTCTTTGTTCGACTGAAAGATTTGTTCAGTATAGTTAGCCGATTCAACGTTCAATTCTGAAATGCGCCCCTTTGATTTTTTTTCCCCGTTGGGGGTACCTTTCATATCTAATAAAATTACGTCAATGTGCAATCAAACTTTCTGAATTCAGTTTTTGTAACATATTTAGTTTACATATATGTATTTTAACTTATATTTTAATATTTATTTTACATATATGTAAAGCACTGTTTCTTATTCACGTTCTATTTTTCATTATATATTTAACTTTGTAAAATTATTGCCACTATAGTATAATGACTCTTTCAGACATCCGTACATCAACACGCCAGTGGAGGGCGAAAGAGAGTAAATGCAGTGAACGTTAAATCATTTTTTGAAAGAAATGAAGAGTATGAAGGAATCAGAGCAGTAGGGCTTGACGACATGGAAAAATATTTTATCACAATAATGTTTTTTTCATATATTAATTGATATTAATGATGATCACAATAATCATAATTCAGGTCATTGTTTCTTTTGCTTAAAATTGCCCTTAATAGGATTGCCCTTAAACAGATTCAGAACATGAAAAATGGCGACAAACTGAATGCAAATTGAAATCTAATTTTAATATAATCATACAAAAATATTTTTTTGTTGTAGGGCATAACTCAACCTCATAACTCACTCTCCACAATATGGTCCGTTGGTAGGTTTGCCCTGACTGCCTTGCAATTCCTTCCTAGGTACAGGAACAGGTTTTGCTGACATTGCTGATAGAGTTGTCACCCATCCTGTATTTTATGAGACATCCTGTACTGAAAATTAAATATCATTTTCCTATTTTTTAATAAAATGGGACATATTTTTTTGCATATCTCTTCAGATTGAAAGTGGAAATCTTACTCATGATTTTTGTGATTGTAAGCACTAAGGTTGTGTGAAATTCAGAACTTAAGGATTGTGCCTTATTTCATTCATAAATTGGAATTTGAATTAAATTGTCCACACCCCACAGGATGAATTGGAATTTGAGTTGGAATGGCAGAAAGAAGTGAATTAATCTCAATTCAAAGAAATTTATGACAACTGCATAACATAGGAATGTTAATCTAGCAAAGCATAAATAATAATATAACATATTTGCTTTCTAGAAGGTAAATGTATATACTGACCTTGTATATGTATGAGTGACTGAAGTGTACTTAATATGAAAATTTGTGTATAACTTTTATCATGTTCTGACAATTTACATATGTTTTATGTTGGTTCTCTAAGTCCCTTTCCATGGGAAAATATTTGTATTCTGATATGGGGGGCAGTGTGTGGGCTAAGCCTGTGTGCCTGTAATCAGAAGGTCACAGGTTCAAACCCAGCCTCAGCACATCTGTGGGTCTTTGAGCAAGGCCCTTAACCCCCAGCCCCAGGTGGCTGCCCTTTGCAGACAACTTACTCTCCAAGAGCAAGTTGAGGGAGGCATAGAAACAATCCCCACATGCATCAATAAAGTAACTGCTTATGTGTGTTAGCATTTGTGAGGAGTCTACAGTAGCTTTTCTTGTGAGTGTCATGGGTTGCCAGATGAACAGGCTTTGTGATCGTGTTACTTGTATGACTGTATGCCTTCTTCCACCCTGGCACACAAAATGACAGTTAAATGATTTCTTCCATACTGAAGGTCACTTTTCAAATGTTTCATTCTGAATAACATGACATTTTTGTTGTAGCCTATTGTTACAGCTGCACCTACACTACATATGAGTAAGCGTTGGATCATTCCATGCCATGTGCTCCCTGGGACAGGACCCCACACCAGACCCAGCACAAACTGCGGTGGCCAGTAAGGCCCCCCACACGAACTGAGGTAGTGGACACAGTAGCCGGAAACATCCAACTCCCTTAGTATAGGAATTTAATGTGAAGTCACTTCCGTTTTAATTCTACTTCCTTAACTTTCTGGATATTTGGCGATGAGAGAACCCTTCTTCACTCAAAATTTCAATTTGAGCCCTCTGTTCAATTGTTAGCTGTGCATTTCTAGCCATTACAAGCATTAAAATAAATATTTATAAAAAAAAATCCTGACTTTGCAGTTGTGATACAGTACAACAGAAGACTAAAACAAGGAGCAGACAGTACATTAAACTTCTCACAAACTAATCTGGGACAAGGCAGACAAGTAGCTATCGTTTAGTTTATTAAAACACAGTCAAGTGAGGCCATGACCAAATCAAGTTCTGACATTAGTAAATAAAATTCCAACAGAAAGTGAATGTCAATGCACTAAAGACAGACCTCATATGTGTTCTATACAAAACCAATAGTTTCGGCCTTTGTGGCTAAATAATTTATTACTACAAGCTATAAAATACTGAAAACCAGTCAGTTACATTTGTTTTATGCATTTCTAATATTTTCTTATTATAAGTTTGACAAAGCAGAGTATCATTTATTTCTTAAAAAAATCTGAGGGTGGGTCCAAACTTCTGGCCTGTAGTGCATAATCGGACATACTGCGAACATTTCATCACTAAACAAATTATCATCCAGTAGAATATTCTTGAATGCCAGTGCTTACCAGGGCTGTGCACCTTTCAGAACTGAACTGATGAGAATGCTTCTGAAATTCTAATTGTATTCATGAATTTGAATTGCAGTTGAAAACAGCATGTAGAATTGAAATTTGAATTTAAATGTTTCTAAGCATGGAGTGACCTACTGTTTGCAGAGAGAAAGGTTGACAGAAGGCATAGTGACTGGAGACAGTCTGGGTCAAGGAAAGTGACAGGAAAGGCTGAAGACCAACACTGAGATGTGATGTGTAAAAGAAATTGGAAGACGACTGCAGAGGGCTGTGATTAATGTGAACAAGGGGAATTATTATCTGTTAATACAGTCCAGCAAATACCAAGAGCAGCTGGACTATATGGTCGAGTAGCTGCCAGTAAACCTTTACTTTGTGGTGTTAGCGAGAAAAGGAGATTAATATAGGCTAAACAGCACAAATACTGGGGTGTTCTGGACTGGAAGCAGGTCTCAAAGACAGACGAAAGTCCATCCACAGGATGAGTTGGTCCAACAAGATCAAAGTAAGAGTCTACAAATGAGACAGAACGGTTTGCATGCTGGAAAAGGTGCTGGAAGGGTTTGGACACAAGTTATTTTCAAAAATTGCTAGAAATGAATATGTGCTACCCTGTTAAAGGTGGTTATTTTGATGGAACAGGTAAAACTATGTTCTTATTAATTCATTCATTGGAACGCACATTCATTAAAATACACTTATAATGCACAGCAAATTGTTACAATACACTTCAAAACCAGTCAGTTACATCTAAGTATTTCTAATATTTTCTTGTAATAAAAGTTTGACAAAGCAGTATCATTTTTTTTGGGCCCGAACTTCTGGCCTGTAGTGTAGTTGGCATAAGTTTTTTATTATACAGCACCTATCGATTCGGCTCGGACTTTAAACTGCAAAAAGTACCACCACACCACCGACATTTTTACGTTGTTTATCTATAATATCTCATTTTAAAAATGTCGTGGTTGCTGAGCCGTTACTCCCATCGGTGACAGCCGAGGCTTCCCTGACGGAGCGCTTATCACTCCGTGATAAAACCCAAACGTGCTTCTTTACTTTATATAGATACGTTTTCAAAACGATATATAGGGTGACAAAGTACCGTTTATCAATATTATTGTGTGTTAAAATTAGGTCTCTTTTTAAAGATTTTAATAGAACTCCTTCCTGGTTGTAAAAAACTCAAGAGCTTCGGTCATGACTTCAGTTCCGCCTAAAAATAATAAGATATGTTTTAGTCCATACGGCCCAGAACCTTCGATCCCCTCCACCCTGCGAGCCCCCATGGAAATCCGGGGCCCAGCCGTCTGGTCGGTTCTGCATGGCAGCCCTTGCCATTTATAACATCAGAGCAATTTCATCCCCAGGTTTTCTTACATAAAACCACTTTATACTGAGATTAGATATGTACATATTGTAATGATTAAAATTTTAATCACAATAAATAACATTAAACGTACGGGTTGCCCTTTCATTAACACCATGATCTTGATGGCACAATAAAACCTGAGCGATTTGGTTTTATTCCGAATGGCGAAAATGTTACATATTTAATTAGTTCGCCAGATTGCGGCGTGATATTAAATTTAATGAAACTTTCAGAAACTGAACAACCCAATCCTGCCGTCTAAAGATACAACTGCAGCACCAGTTATTAACGCATACTATCTCCTCCATGCCCATGTCACTAGAAAAACCCAAACACTACCGAAAACCGGTACAGATGTGTCTAGCTATAAAATTTAATTGTATATTATTTCATTATTATTTAATTTAATTGTATATTAATGTCTCTGGAAGCTGAATAACAGTGGAAAGGGACTGTTTGTAGGACTATTTTAGCGCGGAGGAATTCCACCTGCGAGCTGATAAATGATGCGCGTAAAGAGTAGTGCCACGGCCGCCGAGTGCTGAGCCGCTACCGTTAATTGAGTTACTATAAAATTATATAAAAAAGCGCTTTGGCTTTTGCAGCTTTATTTTTGAACGTCAGCAGATTAACGGCTGAGGGTTTCATCAATCCACTGCTTTACTGAGGAAGGTAAGGAGCTGCTTCTGGCGCAGTTGTGTTCCGAGTTTATCTTATATCTTTAGAAGTTGGGTGCTTATTTATTGATACTTGCGTTTGAAGATTTACTTAAAAAACGGACGAATTAATGCTGAACTTGATTGTTCGTAAAGTATGATGCCGGCCCATGAAACTTCGAAGAGCTGCAAGCACTGCCTAGTGATCTGGTGTGTTTTATAGTATTATTTCTGCTATGCTCTTGTATTGAGAACTTAATTTGTTATACATGACCTAAGTTTAATTAAATATTACCTTCATTTCTTTTCACTTGGATGTTTATCCAGAGTGTGGTATCCCGGATGGTGTTTTAATTAATCTAGCTGGCACTGTTAGCGTATCAGCGTTTGAGTTTTATCGTGATTTAGCCTTTTTCACTTTATTTTTAGGTGCATCATCTCCCGTCGTTTTTATGTAGTGGCTACGGTCGATTATTTGAAATCGTCACCCTTCCTTCCATCCATCGCATAAACTAAAAAGCTAAATTACATATGACTGGTTTTCACTGATTACAACGGCTGGTATCCTGGGTGGGTGACTGGTAACGCGTGTGATTCGCATGTGCATATAATCAGCTTTACAGGTAGAACTATAGGTGTGGAACTTGGGTCTGCTTTTACTGCGCTCAGAACAGTTTGTGGCGATTTGCAGGTATGAAACATTTGAATATTTGAGCTTGATGTAGTTAATTTCATACGCTACGTTGAAATCAACGTTTTAAATATAAATACTGGTGTGCAAACGAGGTTGGTATTGTAAAGTTTACGGCCCTGAAATTTTTACGCCTTGTATTCAAGCACAAATTGTAATACAACTGGTGTCAGCAACCAGACTTGTGCTTTGGCACCCCCTTAGGGCTGGGAGTTCGTTTTCACACACATCCCGCTGAACTTTTACACAGGCCTTATGGAATGTATGTCGGTGCACTTTCAGTGTTTGCATTTTGCCTTTGGCATTAACTATATTTGGAATATCTGAGGAAAAAATGTTCTCGAGTACAGTTTAATCTTCAGTCCGAATGGTTTTTAAAGCTCGTCTCTTTTCTAGTACACGTTTAACACAGAAGCAGCCGTAGCAACTTTTTTCACTTCCATGGTGATGGTCAAAATTATAGTGCAAAACGTTTCATATACGCTGATATTAAACGGGAGATTACAGGAACTTGCCTAATACTGTAGTATGTTTAGGAATTGCTCTGTTTATGTGTCTTCAGCGGCTCGTTATTTTAAGCTTCATATTGAATGTTTTTTATACTTTTCACTTCATCATGAAGTCTGGCCTACATATTGAGCTTTTCACCACAGAATAAAAATGTTACAAATTGCTCAGGTTAGCTGGTAATCGATAATTGGTATCAGTCATATTAGAAAAATATATCTATCACTATCAGTATTGGTCAAAACTTCCACATCGGTGCAATACTATAAAGGTATTTGACAATAAATAAGGTATTTGACAGGTATGTGGTGCTACCTTGAGGCAAATGGCACCCTGTAGGTTCACGGCTTAAGAATGAATTGCTATATTTCAATGTTGGTTTGGTTGTGTTGCAGGTTGTAAGAAATTTGCATTAAGGTCATATGGTTGTGAATATTTGCAATAAGTCACTCGCTGCCTACTGCGCATCATTACCTATTTAATTTTAATTTCTGGCAATAAAGCAGTACTGTTCAGGTATATGAACCAATATTGTATCTGTGGTGTCTTGCAGAGTGTTTCAAGATGAACAGCACTGGCTCATCATACCCCCTTGCCTCGCTGTATGTGGGGGACCTTCATCCTGATGTCACAGAGGCCATGCTCTACCAGAAGTTCTCCCCAGCAGGTCCCATAATGTCCATCCGTGTCTGTCGGGACATTATCACCCGACGGTCCCTCGGATACGCCTATATCAACTTTCATCAGCCTGCTGACGGTGACTCTTGTTCTCTGCTCTTGAAATTTATATGTTTACTTTAAGGCTTATATAATGTATATTTTTGGAGGAAAATACTTTGAAATGTTTGCGGTTGATACCCCCCAAACTTCATTTTTGATGCACCACATCTCTTCTCAATGTTTTCCATAGCGGAGTGTGCTTTGGACACAATGAACTACGAGGTCATCAAAGGTCGACCTATTAGGATTATGTGGTCCCAGCGTGATCCTAGACTGCGCAAGTCTGGTGTTGGAAACATCTTTATTAAGAACATGGATGAGTCAATTGATAACAAGGCGTTATTTGATACCTTTTCTGCTTTTGGAAACATCCTTTCTTGCAAGGTACTTTTCAGTAAATGTCTACAGAATTATAATTGCCAGTCTCTGTACATTTTCAGTGAAGTTAGATTCTTGGTTAAATTTGTTTTGAAATGGAAATGCTAAAAAAGCAAGATATTAATTATACTTTTGTAACTAGTTTTGATTTTTTTTGCATAGGTTTGCAAGCAAGGCTTGCTTAATTTTGTTTTTAATTAGGTAATATGGATGTTTTCCAGGTTGTGTGTGATGAGAATGGCTCTAAAGGATATGGCTTTGTTCATTTTGAGACCCAAGAAGCAGCCAATCGTGCCATCGAAACCATGAATGGAATGTTGCTCAATGATCGGAAAGTGTATGTAAAAATGAAAGTGAACTTTAACCAACTGGGTGCTTGCTCAGTGCATCTTAATTCCCAAATCTAGTTCAACAGACTTATCTTTTGAACTGTATTATCCATTTTTGGATAAATGATTGAATGGTGTATTTAGGTCAATTGTTAATGCCAGTGTAACACCTGAGCTGTATAGACTAAGTGAATGGTAGTGTCTCGATTTTTATAAAAAGCAAGTTCTCACTGTCTTTGTGATAGAGCTAATATTTTCAGTTAACATTTTGTTTTTGCACAGCTTAGAGAGAGATAGACAGTTGACATCAGGGAAAACAGAACCAGTTTCATGTTCCCTGGGAAAAAATGTTTTGATGTCCACATTTGGGTTAGTGTGACCTTTATCCACCTACATAACTATGGAAAATTTTGTGTTTAAGTTGGCACCTGTAAAGTAATGTGGGCTTTAAAGTGGCAGCTCATTATTGCCAGTTAGATGGTTATCAATATGTACGCCAGCTGTTCTTGCTGCTTATGAAGGTGACTCCTTTTAAAGCAGCTTCTAGCTCCTGCTGTTACCCTGGTTGCCCGGTGTCACAGCCCTTGATAAATTTTGTCATTGGTACAATGCTTAGATTCTCACTATGTCTCAAAGTATGAAGCTCAACCACCTTATTTTACTAATTTAGGTGACATCCCTCCTTATTGTGATGTTAAAGCAGCTCTTCTGCATAGTGTCTGTGTGAAAATTCTAAAGTAGAGATGTGACCAGCAGGTGGAGCAGTGAGCAAACAGACTGCTGGCCAGTCTGTCTTAATTTATTCAAGTCAGTTGTTAAATATGGCATGTCCTGTCATACACAAAATTGGCAACAACTGTCTAAATGGCTTTTATTTGCAGTTTTGTGGGCCACTTCAAGTCCCGAAAAGATCGGGAGGCGGAGTTTGGGGCTAAGGCCATGGAGTTCACCAACGTCTATGTCAAGAACTTTGGGGAAGATGTGGATGATGAGAAGCTGAAGGAAGTGTTCTCTGAATACGGTAGCTGTAGCAAAAGTCATTATGAATATTAAACTTGGCCACCATGGTTCTTTCCAGCACTTTTAGCTGCTTTATGCAAGTTGAATCTTAAGCCAGTCAGTAGTTTTTATGAAATTGGCGAACAAAACGGCTATCAGCTGAACAGCTCTAAAGATTTCGTCCTATCTGCATAGGTAGGACCCTCAGCGTGCGTGTGATGATGGATGAACGGGGTCGGTCTCGTGGATTTGGCTTTGTGAACTTTGAGAGTCACGAGGATGCTCAAAAGGTATGGAGGTGAGGAGTGTGGTAGCTGTCATGATGCCTGTGATTTATTTGTACCTCTGAGATGAGACACTGTATGGACAAAAGCATTGGGACACCTGGCCTTTCTAAAGGTAACATAGGTATCTGTATGGAGTTGGTCCCCCCCCCCCCCAGGGCTCTGTGTGAGCCAGTCAAGCCAACCATGTCTTTATTCACCTTGTTCTGTGCACTGGGGCACAGTCATGCTGGAACAGCAAAGGTTCTTCCCCAAACTTTTCCCACAAAGTTGGAAGCATAGAATTGTCCAAAATGTCTTTATATGCTGAAGCATTAAGTTCCCTTCTCTGGAGCTAAGGGGCCTAGCCCAACCCATGGGAAAACAGCCTCGTACCATTATCACCAAACTTTACAGTTGGCACAATGCAGTCAGGCAGGTAACATTCTCTTGGCATTCGCCAAATCCAGACTCATCAGACTGCCAGACAGAGAAATGTGATTCATCACTCCATAAAACACGTTTCCACTGCTCCAGAGTCCAGTGGTGGTGTGCTTTACACCACTCCATCCAACGCTTGGTATTGTGCTTGGTGATGTGAAGCTTGCATGCAGCTGCTCGGCTAAGGAAGTCCATTCCATGAAGCTCCCAGACTTGTGCACTATGCACCTCAGTATTCGGTAACCTCACTCTGTTACTTTTACGTGGTAGGACTGAGTCTGCTTCTAAATGTTTTTACTGAATATTTAGCAGGGGAGAAATTTCACAAACACCTTTATTGCAAAAGGTTACATACTATGACAGTACCTTGCTTGAATTCAGAGTTCTTCAGAATGGGTTATTGTTTCACAAATGTTGGTAAACCTGACTGCATGGCTAGGTACTTGGGTTTTATACACCTGTGGCAATGGGTTTGAATGAAACTGAATTCAATGAATGAGAGGTGTGTCCCAATACTTCTGTTCATATAGTATATTTATTCAAAAAAGACTGCGTTTGCATGCTAAACATGTTCTGTGTTGTCATGTAGTTTTTGGTGTAGGCCAGATTGAATCATAGGTTCTTTATAAAGTACCGGATTGGTAATTAATCAGTAATTATTGAAAAATTATGTGTTTGTAGATTAGGCAGTTCATGTCTCTTTTCTGTTCTGAAGGCGGTGGAGCAGATGAATGGGAAGGAGCTGAGTGGGAGAGTTATTTATGTGGGACGAGCCCAGAAGAGGCTGGAACGACAGGGAGAGCTAAAGCGGAAGTTTGAACAGATGAAACAAGAACGACTTCATCGTTATCAGGTACCGACACATGGCCTTTAATGCTAGCGGTAGAGGGCATTTAAAGGGGTAGTTCATCCTGAAACTGAGGATGTTTGAGGGGCTTTAGTGCTATCTACCCATCTAGGTTGTTCTGCTGGGAGTTGCCTCGTTTTTGAGATATCGGCCGTAGAAATGTTGGGCTTCTCTTGAATATTCTTTCTGTGGTGATTAAAGCATCAGAAAAATGCATTTGAAAAATTCAACAGCAGTATCTCTTACCCGATATTATGACCCAGTTACTCAAGATAATCCGCAGACTTTTTAGTGAGCAGTTTTTAATGTAGGAATCTTCTGCTACTGAACTCCACACACCAATTATATCACTCTGCAGAAGATATGAGGATGAGAACCCTGGTGATATCTCCAGGGCTCACCAAACAGTACCTGGTTTTAATTGCTGCAAAGAATGGCATTCATTCCCATTATATGAGAGAAGCCCAACACTTCTTCAGTCTATCTTCAACACTAGGCAACTCCCAGCTGAACACCCTAGATGGATGGATAGCACTAAAGCCCCTCTAAAACGTCTTTCAGTTTTCAAAATATCATCAAAATAAGTATGATGATATTGCAATTTATACAAATGCTTCATGTTCATTCTCTAGGGTGTCAATCTGTATGTCAAGAATCTGGATGACAGCATAGATGACGAGAGGCTGCGGAAGGAGTTTGCCCCTTATGGCACCATCACAAGTGCTAAAGTAACTGTCCTTTTGTCTCGGAGAAGTTAAAACAAATGGGGAATTTCCCGAAATTAGTTTAGTTTTTAGAGGCCAATATGTATGAGAGTACCTCCAGCTGCTGGCTTATTTGCTTCTCTGGTAGCTGTGCACAAATAAATGTGGGCTTCTATTGTCTAGGTGATGATGGATGGGGGACACAGCAAAGGCTTTGGCTTCGTGTGCTTCTCGTCCCCTGAGGAGGCCACCAAAGCAGTGACTGAGATGAACGGCCGCATTGTCAGCACGAAGCCGCTGTACGTGGCTTTGGCTCAGAGAAAAGAAGAGCGGAAGGCTATCCTCACCAACCAGTACCTGCAGCGGCTTGCGAGTGTGAGGGCCATGCCTGGCCCCGTTGGCTCCTACCAGCAGTCTTCTGGATACTATGTTTCTGCTATGCCACAGGTATGTGGTGCCTTTTTAAAAAAAAAAAAAAAAAAAAAAAAAACCGTCATGTCCTCATTAGGAGTTTGTTCACCAGTCACTTGTAGTATTAGAAGACCTAAGCCCATTGCTTCTGCTGCCTTCTCCATATGGTCCCCCTCTTAATTGGAGGAATGTTGAAAATAATCCTAAATTATTACTTGAGCTGGAGTTGGGATAAGAGGTGAGGTATTTGCTGTAGGCTTGTGAAATTTTCTTGTGTCTATGGCTTTCTCTGGTCCAATGATGCTGCTTTGTGAACCTTCCCAGCCTCAAAGCCGTTCTTTCTATGCGCCCAACACCATGAGCCCAATCCGTGCAGCTCCCCGCTGGGCTGCCCAGCCTCCAAGGCCCCAAGGTGAGTGCTCCTGAGAATTGGGGTGGGGAAATTGAGGCTCTCATTAAGCTTAGTGTTGTGGTACGTGCTGATCTCTTCCCTCACGGACAGACCCGTATCTGCCGCAGTTTGTCAGGACTGCCCCTCCTCGTCGAGCTTCTACTCCTATTAGCACAGTAAAACAGGCCTCAACTCAGGTACCACGAGGCATAAGCCACTCGCAGAGAGTTGGTGAGACATCTTAATGCTTAATTTTTTACTTTTGTTTTTGCACAGCAAAAAAAGTCACGTGGTTTTGATGTGAATTTTATAGTCTGAGTAATATCCATTACTATATATACTGTGTTATTCATAAGTCATTGATTTGCCCTGCCACCTCCAGAATTGGTAGCGGAATCGTGATTGCTCTGTCTGTTCTGAGAGCGTTTTAATAAATGTATTGGTTTTGTTGCAGTTATTGTAATCCCCTTTAACTATGATTTTGATAATGGGCAATTGGCCTCTGTAGCCAACATTGGCACACAAACTGTTGGGGGCCGTACCTCGATGTCCGCTGCAGCTGTGCGTGGTGTGAGCCAGTACAAGTATTCTTCAGGGGTCCGTAACATGCAGCAGGTCATAGCCATGCCAGGCCAGACAACTATACAACAGGTAGGTAGGAACCTGGTTGACTCTCCTCTGTATGTCGTTTTGTTAGGCTTTCCTGTCTTAACTCTTGGTTGTTATTGGCGTTGCTAGAATATTTTTAAAGCTAATGGCAACTAGATGACAGCTGAGCAGTGTGGGCACCTGTTCTGTAGGTGGTGGAGCCAGCAGTCCACGTTCATGGACAGGAGCCCCTCACTGCTTCCATGCTGGCTGCTGCACCCTTGATGGAGCAGAAGCAGCTGTTAGGTATGTGTATGAGGCTTCCATGAAACTACCTCTATAGAGGTAAGCATCATGTCCAATGGAATTAGTAAATGTACCCTAGGACTTTGACTGACTGAAGAGTGGTGTCTTTCTTGCGTTTAAAGGGATGTTCTGCCTGTGTTTATGCTTGCATTTGAAAAATATTGGGCAATCCAGCTGGACAAAGGCAGGATTTTCATAAGGTAACATTGCTAGTAACTGAATTTGCATTTTGAGGTTTAATTCTTGGTATATGGTAAATAACTTTCGTCACTGCTTGTATTAAGTGGAATGAACTTTGATGTGCTGCTTAAACAAGGTTTATTTGCTTACTAGTTATACAAATCGCCCAACAGTCTGTGTCCATTGCATTTGCAATTTCCACTGCAGCTGTGGTGTGGAATGTGTACATAGCCCAGGATACTGGGACCAAAGCAGGTTCTGCACTTTTGCTTAGTCATTTGTAAGTGTGAATATTTGGGACCTAAAAGGTCTGCAATATCTTCCCTGGCCAGATTAATATTAGTGACAGATAATATCGACTTGTGATTTTACTGTTGCGTTGTAGTAAGATGACATTGGATTGGTCATGTATTAAAGAAACATCATATCTGAAAATGCTCTTTTGAAACTTATAATGAAATGCCTAAGGCTTCTTCAGGCTGATTCAGTGCAGCTACAGTATGTAGATCTTAGGCAAATTATTCATTGCTGATGTCTTGTGAAAAATGCAGTTGAGCACCACAGGAGTCCTTGTTTCAAAATAGCACTGAGGCTTTTGTACTTATAACAGCAGAACCCCGTTTCACTGCAGCGTGGCTCTTGTTTCTAAAAATTGTGGTCATGCATTGCACATAATGAACAATGATGCTTGGATTAGCTTTTTTTTTTCTCAAAAAATATGACCGTGTTATTCTTGGGCTGCCACTAATGATTAATCCATAGAAAAATCTACACTTTAAAAAAAAAAAAAACAAAAAAAAAAACTGTAAATCTAAAGAATTTTTTCCTCCAGAAAATCAAGTTCAGTTGAATATTATTTTAACAAAAAATTGTCGTTGCATGGCTTTAGATAATGGATGCCGAATTTCTGGCAGTATACGGACATTATTTTGGCCCGCAGTTCAATAAGCAGATTAATAGTGTGCCTAAGATATTAATGAGATGTGTAATGTGATGCCCAAAAGTATAGTACACAAGTATAGTAATCTGTATAAATTGGCCATATCTTTATGCTTATTAAAGTTGATTAGTGGAGCACCCCATGCTACTGTCTTGGTATGTCAAGGAAGCAGTAAGTACTGAAGTCGTGGTGAAGGAAGGGACAGCTTTTAAAAAGAGGAGATGATGTGGTTACACCAGGTTAAGACCTTGGTGGGTTGGTGGTACTTTTTGCTGATTTAAAGGCTTATTTGGTAAATTAACTGAAATGAAAACCATTTTTTCATTAGTTTGTATTTCAATTTTATTTTACGGTAACACTGGTCCCAACAAGCCCAACGGGCACAAACACACATACTGGTACCATCAATGTAGAATAAGCCCAGATTTTGGCCTAAACATTTTCTCAAACACTCCAGTGGAGATTGTAAGGTAGCACACAGACAACTTCATGGCTTTAATACTAATTTATTAAACACAGACAACACTTGCAGTGGTCTCACCTATTCTGGCAGTTCATCATCCAGAATAGCACCTGTGCGTTTTCTCTTCAGGTGCTTGCGTGTAGCGCTAGTGCTGCCGTGGTATGCCATCGAAACTCTGCACAGTGTAAAAACATCCTCCTTGCTTAGTAATAATTTGAAATGCTCCCATAATTGCTTGCCGATATTAAGAGAACATTTGTTATGAACTGAAGCGTTTTAGAAATCCTACAGGTAATTTCATTAATATGAGGGGGAGATGCTTCCGCATTTTCAGCATAGACGTCATCAACTACGTCGACTTCACAGCAGATTCAAATAGTCTAATGGTGACTTTTCTTAATACAGGTGCTACAGCCCTTGGATGGAGGCCTGTAGGAAATATAGAACTGTGCTTGTTGGGTGTAAATCGGATGTTTAAATGTGCTGACTTGGATTTGTTTGGGTCACAGGTGAGCGACTGTACCCCCTGATCCAGGCTCTGCACCCCTCGCTGGCTGGCAAGATAACAGGCATGTTGCTGGAGATTGACAACTCTGAGCTGCTGCACATGCTTGAGTCCCCGGAATCCCTTCATTCAAAGGTATCAGATTTTATTTCTGGGACTGGGATTTGGCTGAGAGCTGTGTTAATTCACCTTTCTTTGCTTAGGTGGATGAAGCAGTGGCTGTTCTCCAAGCTCACCAGGCGAAGGAAATCTCCCCAAATAAGTAATGTGCACTTTGGGTAGGTTTCAGTGTTTTAATTGGTGTGATTATGGCTTTGGTTTGTTTGTGTCCAAAGCAAAAAGAGTATTTCACGTTTTTATTTATTTTTTTGGTGTTGAGGCTGACTGGTAGGTTTTAGCCCACAGCATGTTTGTGGCCTAGTTGGCTTAGTTTGTTTTAAAACACACCTGCGGTCCTTTCAGTCTATACCCTGATTAACCACTCCAGCGTTGGCCCAGGACACAGGCAAGCAATATCAAAATTCTGTAACTCTCTTATTTTGTAATGTAATAACATCTTTAATCAGCATAAAATAACACTGACATAGGCATACAAACATCTCTTAAATACCAGTCAACATTTTGTTTTAAAATGCTGTATACCCCAGTGTAACGTCTGGACAATATGAAAAAATTAGATGGCAAAACTGTGAAACAGTTTAAAATGAGTACGGGAGAGAATAGGGGTCGGTATTAGGATTTTATTAGTGCTATTACTTTTATGGATACTGCTTGTAGTTCCGGTGCTTTATCAGTTCTTTTGATTTTTGCTAGAAAACACATTCACTTAATGGGACAAATTACATTGTTTTATTAGCACCTTATCAACATATCCTTACTTCTGTAACAGCTGAGTTAAAATACTAATTTGTGTGTATGTGTATGAACAAACACATAAAATAATGGCTATTAAACTTTATACATGATGCAGTTCTGGATGGAGCTTGATTGCATGGGAAGCAGTCAAACTGCATTTTTTTGCATAGTTGTTTGATGCTTCGTTAATTGTTTTAAATTTCTCGTGTTCCCTCCCTTGCATGAAAGGATTTTATTGCAGTTGTTGCAACAAGCGTCACCATTGTTTAACCTTTTGTAACGTTAGGCCATATTTTGATCCCTTAACATTAGGGGTGTAATGCCATGATTTTGTATGCGTCATGTTAAAGGTTTAGGTATCTATTTAAGATGATGGCACATCACCCTTTAATTAAACAATGAATTTCTTATTTTTCCATAACTCTATATGTAGACAAAATGGTAGCATGACTAACTAGGCCTTGTTTATGTCTCTACTGTATGAAGTCAAGGAAAGAAAAACGTGAAAAGTGACACTCGCCATCGTCACGTAGTTCACCTCCTAGTTCGTATTTGCATACAAAGCGCTGAGAGGCTCCAGAGAAATTCTGGTGTTCTGCCTAGCTGAATTTGATATTGTGCATCACTGTATTCCAAATACAAGGCACCCCCCCCCCCCACACACACACACACCACCATGCCCCCACACTTTTTTTTTTGGCAACTTTTTTTTTGAATGCAAATTTTAAAATTTTATTTAACAAGAATATATATGAAGTTCAGCATATCACTGTTAAAAGGCAACCACAGGCATCTGCAGCACCGTAAGTATAGATAGAGGATCAGTATTACAAACTACACGACGCAGGAGAGCGCAGGAAGTGTTTGCAGCAGAAAAAAGGAAAAGGCCAATCGTGGTGAGGGGTGGTCACTTTTATGAAGATGACAGCTCTTTTAAAATTCTCTTGGTTCATTGGTTTAATTTTAGTAGCAGCACAGATAAGGAAACATCAGTTTTACTTGACTTAAAACGCTAATGAATCCCTCGCATTCCACTGCAAACGGTAATGACATTTACAATGAAGATAAGTACACGGATATCATATTTTACACCATTTACAGATGAGTGCAGTGCAGAGCTTGCTGGCTGCTGTCCAACCCTACAGCGTCACTTGTGTCAGCAAATTGTCGGCAGAGAGTGGGATCACCGCTCATACGTTGTATTGCTGAAACAACGTCGATTACATTTGAAGGATGCGGCTACCTTTAGCCAGGAGGCAGATAATTTATGCCATCTGCTGTTATATAATGACATTTAAATTCATTTAAATTATAGCCCCTCAAGGTGACCCCAGTGTTTTAGATGTACACTACCATTCAAAAGTTTGGGCTCACTTAAGTTTCCTTGTTTTCCATGAAACATGCATGAAATGATTTTGAATAAGAAATATAGCTAGCTAAATAGGACAGTCTGTCAAATTCAGAAATCATTTTTGAAATTCAAGTGTTCTTCAAACTTTGCTTTCGTCAGTCCTTCCATTTTCAGCAATTACAGCCTTGTAGACCTTCAGTTTGAGGTAACCTGGTGAGATTTCACTGTGTGCTTTTTGAAGCATCTCTCACAAGTTGAATGGGCACTTCTTACATAACATTGGGTCAAGCTGCTTCCATAACAGTTCAATATAGCTGAGACCCAGTCACTGTGCTGGCCACTCCATCATACACACAACACCAGCTGACTGCTTCCCTAAATAGTTCTTGCATAGTTGGGAGCTGTGTTTGGGTCATTGTCCTGTTAATTGGAGTCGGTTTCATCCTATAAAGTGCTGCCCACAAGATATGGCATGGTGTTGTAAAATGGAGTGATAGCCTTCCTTCTTCAAGATCCCATTTACCTGTGTACAAATCTCCCACTTTACCATCACATTACCTCCACCATGCTTGACAGATGTCAAGCACTCCTCCAGTGTCTTCATTTGATCTGCGTGTCACAAATGTTGTTTTTTGTGATCTGAATGCCTCAAACTTAGATTTGGAGAAAAGTGCTATGGATAGACAATCTTTCTTTTGTCCACTGTTCATTTGCCCATCTTTTTTTATTTTTTATTTTTATTGGCCATTCTGAGATGCAGCTTTTTCTTTGCGATTCTGCCTAGAAGGCCAGCATCCTGAAGTTGCCTCTTCACTGTTGACACTGAGGCTGGTCTTTTGCGGGTACTATTTAATGAAGCTGCCAGTTGAAGACCTATGAGGTGTCTTTCAAACTACACACTGTAATATATTAATCCTCTCGTTCACTTGTGCACTGGGGCCTCCCTCTCCTCTTTCTGTTGTGGTTAGAGCCTGTTTGCGCTCTTGTGACGCCATAATACCGAGCATTGTACAAAATGCTCGGCTTCTCACATGGAATAGCCTTCATTTCTCAGAACAAGAGTAAACTGATGACTTTCTGAAGAAAGTTCTTTGTTTCTGACCAGTTTGAGCTTGTACTTGAACCCACAATTTATGCTCCAGATACTCAACTAGTCCAAAGAAGGGCAGTTTTAGTGCTGCTTTTAATCAGCACAACAATTTTCATCTGTGCTAACTATTGCAAAAGGGTTTTCTAATGATCAATTAACCTTTGAAATGAAACTTGCATTGGCGAACACAGGACTAATTGTTGCTGATAATGGGCCTCTGTACACCTATGTAGATATGCCATTAAGCAGCCGTTTCCAGCTGTGATAGTCATTTACAGCATTGATCACAAATACTGAGTAGAAAATGTTACTCTGGTGTTATTTTAATGGACAAAACTTGCTTTTTTGAAAACACCAAACTTTTGAATGGTAGTGTTTGTTTTTGGGGAAACTGACTTCTATTTGTGCCAATACATATAGGAAAATGACAGGCATATCGTAATACTGCAGTTCACGCACATATTGAACCGTCAGGCGTACTGAACAGTTTGATAATATACCAACTTAACACTCTCTGCCATTACAACACTGAACGAACGCTGTGAGAGTGGAATTCCCACCCCTCAAGTAGACAGGTGAAGGGGAAACTGGCTCTGATCTGTCACTATTTATGGGACAGTGCTTTTCATTTCGTTAATACCCTGAAACTAATTTATTTGTTCAGTGCCGATTACGGAACTGATAATGCCAGACTTTGCTACTCGGGTTCTAAGTGATTAAAAACCTATTGCCGTTTGGATTCAGCTATCAGAATCCTTCTCTATGCAGGTGTAAATACAGCTTGAAGCATGCAGTGTAAATGATCTGTCCAAGTAGGCTTTGACATCTGCCTTGTTTGCTGTGGTAAACCCAAAATACCAAGGTGTACTGTAATGCTGCCTAAGTCTACATTTAACCATGAGAATTTAAAACTCCTGCAATTTTAGTACAACAGAGAACTGAAAAAGCCATGCAGATTTACATTCGTCAGTAATGATCAGATGATGGTCTGCTTCAGAAAGAACACATTCATGCTCGATACTTGATTCAGCTAAATGTTCGGCTGGCCCCTACTGTTTTACATTTCTCCTGTTAACTGTTTCTAGCTCCTAATGGACAGCATTTTGATTAATTTCAAAGTATTATTTCATTAATTTATAAGGTACTACTTAAATATTTCTGCACAGTGCGTGGGCAGGAAAAGAGTGAAGGGGGGCGAGTATTGCCTGCTGGCTGCCAGTTGCCCAACCCTGGTCTAAACCATTACATCCAAATGTACACATGGTAAATGATTTATGTTCATAGTAAGTTATGCAATACTTTCGGTACTTACTAAAGGCCCTTGTCTATCTCAGGGAGAGCCTGAGGGTGGTGGCTGGCTCTGCAGGCCAGGACCCCTGTGCTCATGGCTGTAACATTGCTCAGCCAGTCCTGTAGCTGGCACACATTGTTCTGCTAAATGAGTGCCTTTGCTTGATCATTCTTTTACATGGTACCCTGTTACAGCACTATTGTTCTTGAGTGTAACACTGTCTGACTGGCTAACAGTTTAGCAGATGATCAACTTGCTATTCATGTAACAATGCTTTTATTTTGGATCAACCACTTTTAGACTAATCCGTGGCATCTGATTTAAAAAATAAATAAATAAATATTGGAATTATTGGAACTTTTATATGAACGGCTGGGCGATATGGCAACAATATCGATAATGTATTGTTGGTAATATCGACCAGTTTCCCCAGTCAGTTCTCATTGCGACAATCTGCATGACAATGTACAGCACACACAAACTGCAGACACATTTAGAGGCTGGTTGAGGGGGAAAAAAATTAGTGCATGGGGGTTCGCCTCAAATCAAGAACCAGCTCAGACACAAGATGAGGAATGGTGTATGTCTGGGTGTCTATTGATTTAAGTTTTTGTGAGTTATGGTATTTCTTTATGGACATTGCCATTGTCAAAAAAAAAATGCGGGAGTGTTAACTTCATGAGTCTTGCCATGTAAAAACATTTCATCTGGGGCCATGGCTAATCTGAATTTCTGTTTTGTCTAGATAAACCACATGAATGACCAACATGGAAAATGATCATTGCAGTGTTTTGATGGAAATTGCAACGTGGAAGCTTTCCTGAAAGTTTAGATTTAGGGGGAATTTGAAGAAATTTGTAAACACATTCATTGCCAGTTCATTGGGCAAATGATGAGAAATGACTTTAGAATGTAGTTGAAAAGCCAGCATACTGTTTGCAGAAAGTGGTTTTGTTTACTTTTGTTTAAATTGGGGAATTGAATTTTCTGTGCATTAAAAAAAAATTAAATGGATCCTAATGTTTGTGTTGTCCCTCTCCCTAACTGTCCTTGGACCTTGCAAAGTATGGTAAAGGTATTGGTCTACCTGCATGATTGTGATCATGCCGCCTTTGGTAGCAAGTCAGGAATTTTATGCATTTTCTGTGTATCCTGCACTATGAATCTCCAGCTGGAAGTCTGATATATTGCGATTTAGCATTTTTCTGTGGTGTTTTAAAAAGCATTGCTTGAACCTGTCATTGCATGTCTAAGGCTACGTTCACACTGCCAGCCACATCGTTCAATTCTTTTTGCTCAGATAGACAAATCCGATCTTGACGGTTCACATTCATAATTACAAGTGACCTGTATCTGACTGTAATGTGAACGCATCGGCCCTCTGAAACGTCACGCATGCGCACATTTGATACATTTTTACACAGGTAAAAGGCTGGTTGTAAAATTGGCACGCTATGCGACTGACCGCTGCGCTGATTCGAGTCTTTTGCCTCCATAAACTTTGACTTCAGGCTCTATTTTTCTTTGGCGTTGTAGCCACGTTTGTGTCTGCGCTGTGCCATTTCTTTGGCAATTATTTCAAATACTACTCTATTACGATAGGTTCCTTCAAGTTTACCTTGAACAGGTTAATTTCCCCAAATATCAATTAAATCCCCAACTTCTCCATCCTTCTACTGACTTATCGCAGCTCTCCTCCATTTTTACCTTCCCGGGCTGCCTGTGCAGGCTGATGTCAGCACATGCGTATAAACAAAAAGCCACATGAATTCCGATCTGAGCGTTCACATTCAGGTCGCATGGCCGCGAATCGGATACGTATCCCATTTAGTACCACATATGAAAGTGACACAAATCTGATTTGCCAGATTTGCATGTCCACACAGCCCTGAAAAGATCAGATCTGTGTCACATTAAGGCAAAAAATCCGATTTGAGTCACTTCAGCATGGCAGTGTGAACGTAGTCTGACACTACATCCATGAGCAGTGGTCCCTAACAAAGCAGGCACCGGTGGAGGTGTGGCAGAGCTGGAGCTTCTCAGGAAGTACACCTTAAACATTACATGTGTACAGCTAAAACAGGCACATTTTAATTCTAACACTTCTCATTAGAAGTCATTTGCAGCCTTTTGGCTACTGTTGAACATTGTTAGCAAATGTAGGGCTGCACATCTTGGCCTGTGTATCTATTTGCTCTTGTTTAATCTGGAATGACCCACATCGTTTGCTTGCATCTGTTTCTGGGTGTGGTTCTCTGTGGGCTATATTGGAATGTGTATTAACACTCATTCATACATGGAATTTCTTTGTTCTGAATTCAGTATTAATACCTGTTATGGAAAGCCTAGGAAATTTCATTCAAATGTGTGTTCTTGTGTCCTGTGACTTTTCAACAAATGGCCACCCAGAGAACAGATGTTTGTCTAAATCAGGGGTGTCAAACTGCAGCCCTGTGTAGATTAGTTCTTTCCCAGGTCCACCACAACAGCTGTGTGGTAATTAGCACAAGAAGTTGAATCAGGTGTGTTAAATGAGGGGAAACCCAAAAATGTACAGGGCTCTGGCCCCCCAGGACTAGGAGTCTGACACCTGTGGTCTAAATGAACATGGTGAATCACAAGTTGCATGTCGTCATGTAAATGTTCATGTGACAAGTCCACTGCTCTGTGAAGTGACATGTACTGCATGTTCTCAAGCTCAGATTACTGGCTTAGAAGACTGAACTTGTGTGTAGCAGAAACCCTTCAGGTGCTTTTTGAAGTTATGTTGGTCCAAATACAATGGGACATAAGTCTCTGGGTATAATATGCACCAGGGCTTCTCAACCCAGTCCTTGGGAACCACCAGACGGTCCACTTTTTTGCTTTCTCCCAATTGCCAGGGAATTGGGAGAGAGCAAAAACGTGGTCTGCAAGGACTCTGAGAAACCCTAATATACAGAGTAAAATGTTATGAAATTGACGTTCATGATGTTTTGCAGGTAGGGCCAGAACAAGGTGTTTAGACCGGACTTATGAAAGTTTGTATGAGCAGTAGGAGGTGGATGTGTGGAAGAGGACAGTTTCTGGCTTTTTTGGCAGAGGTTCTCTCAAAGAAATTGACCCTTGCAGCTGGAAGGGCTGCTGTTTGTGGAAACAATGACCATCCAAACCACTGACAAGCATGCGGGCGTTGAGTAAGGCCTACTTTTCCATCTGAATTGTGGTTGTCAAACTTTTTCTGATGCACACAATGGAGCTCTGGAAGAATCCATGGTCCTCCACTGCCAGGATGACAGAGGTCAGTGGTATGGCTCTGATTACCCAAGTCAGCCCGAAGGTGAGGAACGATCTGGGAGTGCAATGGGGGAAATGGATGGGTACATAGTGCTGCAGTGCCATCGCCGCCTGGTTTATCGATGTTTGTGGTAGAGGTGGCAGCAAGCAACAGAAAGGAGCTAACTCGGACATAGCTGGTGATCCAACCAAATGCATAAAATCAAGGCAGTGGTAAACTCTACTATATCACTGAAAACTAAATGGGGGGAAAAAATGTATTGGGAGTTCCCGTGATTACAGTGATTTACAAGGTACAACCCAGAGGGAGAAAAGAGAACTTTTCTCAATGGGGAAGGCACAACCAAGGAGAATTTCACAGTTAGCTGGATAACTTAAGCCAGACGTGAAAACTGTCCAGTAGGAGGAGAGGCAAACTACCTTCCTATTGAACAATCCTTACATTTGTCTTAAGTTATCTGGCTAATGAAAAAATATTGCTTTGTGCATTACCCCCACCCCTGTTTTGTGTCCAGCCAAATTTTCAGTTAAATGTGAAGGAAAAACCGTGCTGGAAAATCATGTAAAAGCAGTAAAGCAGCATCAGTTGTGCATTAAAATAAATACAAAAATTTACCCATTGCAGCTTTTGATTAAAGCAGAACTTCAAGCTAGAATAACTTTAAATTACCATGCTTTAAGTTTAAAGCATTCTTTGAGGGGCAGCAGGGACTTCTGCAGGCTGCAAAAAAGAATGATAAATACACATGGAAAAAGAGGTGAGAAATGTCAGTGTTAGGTTGTCTAAATTCAGTAAGCTAAAAAGTCAACACACAGACATAAACACACATGTTCTCACAACACATTTCCACCATTATGGTGGAAGTATAGTATGCAACCTCAACAGTCTACATATGTTCAATACATAATACCTAATGGGTTTGTATTTTTTTTTTGTTGATATGATATTGATGTATCCATACTTCATGAGGTGCTGTGGTATTGTGGTTAAGGAGCCCAGAGTGCATCTGCTTCAGGACAAATACCAGTAAGAGAGACAATAGGGAGTCCTACAACTATAGCATAAAATGGTTTAATCCCCCCCCCCCCCCCCCCCAAATAATAAAAACAAATGTCAGTGTTTTCACAAATCAAGAGTGGCAACTCTACTTGCATGTAAATAAGAAATAACATTTGAAGCTTATTTTAGTTATAAATTAACCTACCTTACACTTACATTTTTTTTTTTTTTATTAAAGACTTAAACATACTGCAGGTGATGTCAAATCATTGGAAATGAAAGAGAGGACAGAAGAGAGGAAAAAAAAATGAATACAATGATGGAACCATTAGGCAATATCATGCAGTATGTATGTGTAGACTGTTGAGGTTTCATAATGAACTTCCCCCTTAATGGTGGGCAAGAGTTGTACGCGTATATGTCTGTCTGTGTCTACTTGTGTGTGGACGAATAAGAAAGTGAAAGGCATGGAAACCCCGGGATAGCACCCCACCCATGACAACCCTACCCTAGACAGACCATCCCTAACATGACCTGGTACCCCTGGGGGGTATTTTCCATATGTGGATTACTCATTTAGCCGGATGAAATTGACGACGATTTGGCATGATCCTAGATCTGTCAGTTTTTCAAGACTCTTGCTGGATTTATTGTCATAGCAGTACATCCTAATCCTCAAACCTGCTCAAAGCAGGTTTGTTCTATGTAAACAAGGATTAGCTCACACTTAATCGGTGTCCGTGCATGGAAATCCGTTGTCATGGCTTCGCCATTCATGGATGAGCAACCAATTGCAATTGTTGCATAAATAATAAGAAGGGAATTTCAAATTTGAGAGGATTTTGCGCGTCAGCAAGATCCTTTATTGTTGCTGGATGGTATTCTTTTCGAAAAATACCGCTTCAGCTGAGATGGAATATTATATCTTAAAGATTTATTAGCTCCGTATAGTAGAAGTCCAACTAGGTGAAGCCGAGCTCTCACAGCCACACAGACAATGTGCATTGCCTTGATTTTTTGCAAGCAACACTTTTTTGTATACTGTAGGCAATGCGGAAAATATATCAGAGTGCAGTTTGCCAGGCAATTCGCAAAGTCTGTTTGGGCCTGAAATATTTCCTTCAGGCTTTCATTGTTTTTCCCGGACACCTGTGTGTGCGGACAATTAAAGAGGCGTTTTATGCCATTGCAAGTAATGTATACGCAAAAAAATGCATTTCTATAAAGAATTTAAAAATCGCACTAAATCTCATTACCCAGAATTTCCAAATGTGATTGGGACACTGGATTGTACCCAGATCTGAATCTAGGCCCCATCAGGTCCAAATGAACCAGATTATGTGAATAGAATAGGCTTCCACAGCATTAACGTACAGATAGTGTGACTTGTAAAAGCTGAAAATAGCCAATGGGCATGTTGAAATACAGTACAATTGTTTGACCTACATGCTATAAATTCTCGTATGATTTGTGATGCAGCGTGTCATTTGAAATGTGGAGGCCAAATGGCCAGGGTCTGTTCATGATTCAAGAATTTTTAGAGCCACACCTGTATCAGACACTTGAACAAGGTAATACCAATACATATTTATCAATCACGATTGTTACATATTCCGCAGGTCATCATGATGAAATTCTGGTTGGGTACAGGGGATATGCCTGTAAGAATTTTTCAATGTCCCCATTTCTCAACCCTAACCCTGGCCCACAAACTTGATATAATGCAACTCTGTCTAGG